CTTATGCTGCTGAGCTATTTCCTTATCTCCCATTACATGTTCTTTTGAACCTGATCTGCCTCCAGCCACCATGAGCATCTTTCCTCCACCATGGCCTTCAGCCATGATGGCTCTTTGTACCCTGCAGCCATACATCCATGGACTGGATCCTCTGAAGCCATGAGTTGGGTTAAACCTCCTCTACTTTAAGTCTTGGTGACAGAAATGCTGGCTGATACTTTCTTTTTCTTTTCTTTTTTTTTTTTTTTTGTGGAACCGGGGATTGAACTCAGGCCCTTGCACTTGCCAGGCAAGCACTTATTCTACTGAACCATCTCCCCAGCCCTGATACTTTCTAAATGTAATTCCTGGGGTCAGGGATACAGCTCAGCAGTACAGCACTGACCTGGTAAGCACAAGGTGCTGAGCTCAATTCTTAGCACCAAAACTAAACTAAACTAAAAATAATAATAAAAGTAATTCCTCAAACCAGTATGGCCTTGTAAAGATGGTCTGCACTGCAGGACTTTTCACCTTTGTGGTGGTGCAAGTGACACATATTTAGTAGAAATCACACTCCTACTTATGAACTTTGAAAATTTCCTGGTCTAACAATATGTGATACAGTATTCTCTGGAGATGCTGAGATGCAGCAGCAGGTCCTAGCTTTGCCAGCCACATGATCAAAATAAATAGTGTATGGTATACTGCATTGGTAATTTATGATATTTGTCAGGTTATATGTGTTAAATGCATTTTTAAGATATTTTCAACTTAAAATGAGTTAACACGGCGTACTGTATTTCTGTGGTCCTTTATATTAAACAAGTCACATTGGCTACTATATTTAGAGTGCAGACTAAAGAGAGATAAGGAAGTGTCTTGAAGTAATTCAGTTGAGATGACAGAGATTTGCATCAGTAGTGTTTGTGGAATTGTTGAGAAGTTGAAGACCAGTTATTTTTAAAAGTTACACAACAGTATCTATCAGTGAGTGGAATGTCAGTTTAAGAAAAGAGAAGTAGTAGGGAGGACCCCAAGGTTTGATCTGAACAATAGGAAAGGTGAGGAATCCATTCAAGGAGATGAAGAAGACAGTGAACGGCATATACTTGAAAGGGAATGTTTGGGGTGCTTATTAAACATGCTGGCTAGAAATGTCAAAGAGGCAGATGTCGTCAATCTGGAGTTTAAGAGTGATTCAAATGGGAGATTGAAATTTGAGAGTCCCCAACATAGAGATGTAAAGTAATGAACTAAAGCAATGAAACTAAATGTAATCATGGGGAAATTAAATTGAAAGAAGTGGTTCAAGAACTCTACTTGGGGCTTTCTAGCAAGCAACAGAGACTGAGAAGGGACCCCAAAAGGGATTTAGTGTTACAGGTGTGACCGCTGTTCTTAAGTAGCATCGATATCTTACATTGCACTTTGAATGTTCATTTTCATTGCAACTCCTTCCAGCATTGCCCATTCATCAAAGCTTTGTTTTATTCCCACAGCATTTTACCAGCTGCTTGAGAGAAAGACAGCACTGTATCCCAACTTGGGGACAACAAAAAGAGGAGAAAACTGGTACACCATCATGACCATCTGTCATGATTGACAACTTCACTGGATTTAAAAAACCAAGCAGATTAGTAAAGCACATTTCTTTTCTCTTTCTTTCTTTTTTTTTGATGGAACCAGGGATTGAACTCAGGCCCTTGCACTTGCCAGGGAAGTGCTTATTCTACTGAGCCATCTCCCTGGCCCCAAAGCACATTTTTATACCAAGTATGACTCTTCTGAGAGCTTCCAGTCTCAGACTGGAGCTGCGTTCTTGTTACCTTCTGTTCTGTGGCTTCCACTTTCCTCCCTCTCCCCTTCCCCCTCC